TTTTTAAATTACAATATATTTTTTATATAGGATAGGGTGACAAACGAGCACAAAGCACACACAGTTAAGTGGTTGCTGTGGTTCATAGACGATGACATATGCGTTGTCACCCGTGACCCGTGAGGACTAATTTGGAATGTCTTGGGCCAGTAGAAAGGGTATCCGATTCTCTACACTCACCATACGAAACACAGCAGCATTAAGCTACTATTTTACGCTGGTATTCTGTAAAAGCGTGGGCTTTCCCCGGTTGAGCCGACCCATTCGTGCTACAACTATACTACTAATATAACTACCGCATGGCTCTACCACGTATAAAGAATTACACGTATATAGTAAATATAGTAAACAAACAAATTAAGTAACAAAACAAAAACAATGTAACAAATTTTCAAAGGTATTGTAGGTACCTAAAATACTTCGTAAGCATATTATATATAATTTTTTAATATTTAATATGGTTTCTTATCTCAATCTGTGGTTGTGATTAATCTGCTAGAATTATAAGACCTTTACGGTATTTGTTGCGTTTAAGGACATAATTTATGACCCTACAAATTATCGCATGAAAGGAGTTAACAAGGAGATTCATTCGAATAAATCAGCGTAATTTTTTTACTCTGAAGATTAAAATAGAATGCCTTTAGGTTCTTTAGGTTCTCTAGACTCACCATAGGAATTACAGCAGTATTGAACCGATATTTTACGCTGATATGTTGTGAAAGCGTAGCCCTTCCCCAGTCGAGCTGAGCAATTCGTGCAACTGTAATATAGCTACAGAAGGGCTCTGCCGCATTTAAGATATCTTTAATAGTTTTATATTTTTTTTTCTCTTAGCAGTACAACATTGAAACATTTGTTACGACGGCAATATACGGCCGTATGCGCTATTCTTGTGAACAGGTAAATAAACTGCTTGTGGGGGACTTGCTTGCTAGGAACTTGTTTACCGTAGAATGCGAGCAGATTCGGTCCTCGCCGACTCCAATGAAATTTGTTAATCGCATTTTGAAGTGCTGATTAACAAAGTGCTAGTCGGTGAAAGCAAACGTCGTGAGGAAATCTGCATGCCTGCGGAATAAAACATGTTGTGTCATGTGAAGTGCACCCACACGCACTGAAGCTGCGCTGTAGACAAATTGCTCTAAGCCCGCTCACAACAAAGAGTAGGCCTGTGTTCAGCAATGGAAAGTATAGAGGCAACAATAACGTTAACTTTACGACAAACCAGTTTGCTTCGTCGTTCATAATGCGTACAGCGCAAAAGTGAAATAATTTGCCAGCATCTGAAAATTAGACAGTATCCCCTTTTAGTGCCCAAAGGGAGGGTAATATTTTAAGCTATAGTGGTATTGGTGTAAGAGAATATATCACCCCATTTCATACCATGGGTGTCGTAAGAGGCAATTATTCGAAATGTCAGAAATATGTTGAAGCTTCCGAAAGGTGGCGTTATTAACATTTCTTCACTTCTAATACTTTTAAGCTGCTTATAGGAAAAATATATAATAGGGGCAAATTTCGATGGATTGAACTATGAATCTCCGACGGTAACTTAGGCTTCTAAGTTCAGCGTGGGCTTTTGATCTATCAAATGTCTACTGTAATTAATGAACAAATGGAAGCTTTTATCAGTTCTATTACAAGCTCAGCTAGACCCTCAGTTTCGTATAATTTCAAACACCTGTTTTAAACGAGGCGTGAAATCTTTTTGAGCAATAAGTTTAAATTCTAGATAACATTCGTTGTACCTTGTACTTTGTGGTTTCAGTGGAGAGAGTTAAATAATGCTTCACATTGAAGTTAATTCTCCGTAAAACGTCCAACTGACGCAGAAGATGGGTAAAATTAGTTTTTTTTTTAAAGAATAAGGGTGACAAACGAGCACACAGACCACCTGATGATAAATGGGTGTTATGGCTCATAGATATATTCATCCGTCCTCAATTAAGAATCAAAATGCAGATGCGTTGTCACCCGTGAGGACTAAGATGGAATGCCTCGTTTTAAGTAAAAAGGGTTTCCGGTTCTCTACACTCACCATACGAAATACAGCAGCATTATTCTACTATTTGACGCTGGTATTCTGTGAGAGCGTGGTCCTTCCCCGGTCGAGCCGACCCATTCGTGCTACAACTATACTAACAATATAACTGCATCATGGCTCCAGCACGTATAAAATGCATATCTTAGTTACAATATGGAATACCAAAATGGTATTCCAAATAACCTTCAGTCAAGTTACGGACCGATTTTAAAGAGTTGCTCTTTATGATTCCATTTGCATTTATAAGTCTTACATTTTCTTCTAAAACCATGGCCTAATAATATCTAACATAACTAAGAAATGCATAGTAAATATAATTAGGAATACCTCTATTCCAAAATACCTGCATCACATGTCGAATACTGAATTCTGACATTTTGCGTTCAACCTAAAATTTTACCTAGTAGTCATGATTAGTTGTTTTAGATAGGTCGTAGATTGATAGTTTATGAATTTTGCTTCAGTTTAATAAAGGATTCATTTCCTTAAACCCTACAGAAAAAATTACACAGACCTAAAACAAAATGGTATTCCAAATTACCTTCCTTTCCCAAACTAAATAGGTACCTTGTGTCTGTTACTTGAATTCACAGAGTAAATAATAGGTTTTTATTTGTAAAATTGCCTTTATGCAACAGTGGCCATTTAAAATCAAAATGATTTTCATTTTACTAAGAATTCTAAAATCAAATTAATTTAATGAAAAAAAGCATGGATTGCTGTTTTCAATAGTAAGTGTTATGTGATTAGCGTTATGTTTTCTTCGAATTTAAATCTTTTTCATCATTATAGATACGTTAAAAATTCAATTAATTATGGAATATGAGTACCATCTTCATAGCAACTAGGCACAAGCAGCACGCAGCATCAATGACGTTAACGGAGCGAATACTATAAACGAATGCACCACCCGTTATTGGTTTGCCCGCTTTCTTTCTGGAAATTTCGACCTGAAAAATGAATCCTGAGCTCGTCCGATTGCTTTGGTTGACAATTACAAATTAAAGGCTATTGTTACTAATGATATTCAATCTATAGCTGAATTATTTGCAGCTTTCAACGTTAGCATCAAAACAATATTGGTACATGGCAAAGTGCGCGTCGAGACGTGCCTTGCACATCTCAACAGACGTACAAACGAAGGAGTTTTGAACTGCATTGTTACCTGCGACGAAAAATCGACGCTGTTGGACAGTCGCCACTGCTCAGCGAGTTCGTTGGATCCTTGTTCAGCACCTAAATAATGTCCTGAACGAAAACTTACCTCTAAGTGATGATCACTGTATAGTTGTCTAGCGCCGGTGTGATTCATCACAGCTTTTTACCAAACAGCATGAGCATTACTGCAGATGTCTACTATGATAAACCAAACAAAATGATGGAGAATCTTGCCCGTCTCCAACCAGCTTTGCTTAATCGTTCGTCCCCGCTGCTCCTGCACGACAACGCGCGGACTTATACTGTACAACAGAAGGTTTCCAAGTTACAAGAGCTGGGGTTGGAAGCTCTTTATCATCCACCGTTCGACGTTTTCAAGAATTTGTATATTATTTTGGCAAGGAAAGCATTAAATACAAAAAACTTAAACTTAAACGTAAATATGAAAGGGTGGAAAAATATAAAATACATTACTTATAGTTGCAAATCGCATGACGATAATAAAAGCTCATAAACATTAAAACTAAACGATTCAGCGAATTTCATTAATGCTTACTTCACAAATGTAGGAAAAACACTTGCATCTAGTATACAACCTAATGCCTCTCCAAGATATCATTCTACTAAAAATAGTTCAACCCAAATTAACTCATTCGTTCTGTTAGAAACTGACAAAAAAGAAGTAGAAAATACCCTGACGAATCTAAGATCTAGTAGCGCTCCGGGCTGGGACTGTATTTCTATTAGCTTCCTGAAAGTTGCAAAGAAAGAACTCGTTAACTATGACCATGAGTGCTGTAAAGCGTTCGAAACGTCGGGTATTTAAAAAGTTAAATATACGCGATAAATTCCGTAAAAACTAGTATTATTTCAATAATGTTGTCCTTTAGACCTAAATTCGGTCATGGCGGCCAGTCTTGTCGCAGACTAGCCATCTGCGCAGGATGAGATTATACGGCACGAGTGTGCACAAGCACAGGTGCACTCTCTGTATCTTCACTCTCATAGTCCGATGGGATGGCAAGCTGAGACAACCGGAGAGAGATCAGGCGCACCATCTACGACTTTACGTTCTTTCCGAGGTACGGAGGTGAAACACCGCCAACTATTTGATTCACGGCGTCTACTGAGTATTTCTTGACAGCAAATCCAAATAACTGATTGTTGTCAATACCCGGCAATTGCGTTTATTTATTACGTGTTAGAGCCACGCTGCAGCCACATTATAGTTGTAGCACGAATGTGTCGGCTCGACCGGGGCAGGACCACGCTCTCACATAATATTAGCGTAAAATAGTAGCTTAATGCGGCCGTGTTTCGTATGGTGAGTGTAGAGAACCGGAGACCCTTTTTACTGGAATCGAGGCATTCCATCTTAGTCTTCAGGGGTGACAACGCATTTGCATTTTGATTCTTAATTGAGGATAAATGTGGATGTCTATGGGCTGTAGCATCCACCTACCATCAGGTATACTCGTTTTTCACCCAATGCTATAAAAACCACTAGAACAATAAGGCAGTTTTTTAATATTGCAATTGTAATAAATTTCTAACTCTAGATCGGTTTTATTAATGCATCATAATAATTATTGGGATATTAATGCTAATGAATATTATTACTATAATATCATTCATTCCTGATCTTCATAAATCGCTACAACAAACGTTCGCTTAAGTAAGCACATAAAATCTTACCCACTCATAACTTTATTTCTTATACCAACAACAAATGTAATTGAATTAAGGCCGTCTTATAGTGTGGTGTATGGGTATGAAGTATGGAAGAGTTATATCATCAATATTGTCTGGCGAAGGACACTAAAGCAAAGAGAGTTTTACAACAGTTATGATACTTAACAACCTCAAAGATGTCCACGTGGGCATTGGATGTAGCCAATTCCGGGGAAACCTCTTGAGTAGAACGTTCACTCTTTGGCTTGAACTGTTCGATTTATTAATTTTTTTTTATCCAGTACCATTAGAGTTATCAAAAGTTCACTGCTGAACAGAGGCCCACAAGGATTACTTAAAGTGGGACATATTTTCCATGTTTGCCACGCTTGGTAGGTGTTTTGGCCACCGCAGTATTTAAGCGTTTATCATCAAGTGGGGATGGCGGGGATGAGCCTGAGCTCAATTGTCAAAGTATTAGATACAGGATAAAATATACAGGGTTGTGGTTTTATATTACCTGAGCATAGATCTTATATCTGTAGAGTTACATTTTACTTTTTTTATACGAGTGCTAAGGTAATCTCAATTGTTTCTTTTAAACATATGTTAGTTTTGTCAAATAAAATAAATGAACTAATTATAAATATTAATATTAAATTAATATTGATGACTGCAGCTATATTATTTTTGCAGAACATGGTTCAATTCGACCCGGAAAGGATCACGCTCTCACAGAATACCAGCGTGAAATATCAGCTTTTGTTGTGTTTCAAATATGAGTGTAGAGAACCGGAGACCCTTTTTACTGCTAACGTTCTATCTTATTCTTCAAGGGTGACAATGTATATCTACATTTTGGTACTTAATCGACGATATATATAGACGTCTATGGACAGGACAGGTGGAATTTGTGCACGTTTGTCAATCTTCGTTTTATTTTATTGTTTTAAGTTATATATATATATATATATATATATATATATATATATATATATATATATATATATATAAGTATATAACTTAAACAATAAAAAAAGCCGGCTTGAAAATATGAGGGTATGTGTTGCCAAGATTCCTTTAGTCTGTTATTGTTCTATCTCTCTATTGCCTTCAGATCGGAAGTCAGCAGTGTTAACACTGTTATTTAGCAGCTGAAATATGACGGTACCTACCCAGGCGGACCCTTGGGCAGAAAACAAATTTATATATTTTTGCAAATACTTTCCGGAGAAAATGCTTATAAGTTGGTGTCGCTAATTACTATAAACACTATCATACATAAATGCGAGTGAAAGATTGATTGAAATGGAATACTAGAACCGTACAGAATCTTTTTGGAATAGCTCACAGTCGCCTCTATGTCATCCTTGGGCTCGGGACGAACTGGGTGACGGATGCTCTCAGGCTCTTAGTGTATTCTTATCTCTATATTACGTAATGATTGCTTATATTTACGCGAGCACTACACATTAAATGAAACTAATTATACGGATTTTATCGCGTTTATTTTTAACTTTTTAATATCTGACGTTTCGGGTACCTTCATAGTCACTGGAAAACAGAAGTGTTTGTTATTCCAATATCATATTTAGCCCGGATACATTCAGTTTTTGGATATTAATTTTCGCTCTGATCTGCGCAAAACGAGCTTACAGTATCTTGAAGTATTTCAGTGGTATGCTTGGATTTAGGTTTAACTTTATTAATTATAGGATCTGAAGCAGATGATAGCACCCTATCCACCCTTTCATCTATGACACCACTAGAGAAGATGGATATCTTCTCTGGAGATTAGGATGTTTTTTTAATTTCAATAGCCTATATTACGGCTTACAGTGATTTATTTAATTATATAAATTGGATTAAATTTGGATATTAGCTTTCGTTGAGGAAAAGGATGAATTTTATTTAGTCAGAGCAAACACATTGCGTTCGCTGAAATAGATTGTATTTATTTAGAGTAAACGTGATGTTTCTTCGTTTTGATTTTTCCTTGCTTCATTGATGTGATTATTTGTACGAATTAATAGTCGAAATATCGTTTATACGTGGTAGAACCATACACATATACCAGTATATATTCTAAGTACATGGGTAGAATGCCCCGTGTAGTGGCGGGTAAGAATACACATACCCCATATCTTCCCGTGGGTGACGTAAGAGGTGACAGAGGGAAACTGATGCAGAAGATGGGCAGCAGCATCTTTCTAATAAAGATTAACAGCAAAAAGCAAAAAAACTGCGGTTGCCAACCCGCTTGCCAAGCGTGGCAACTATGGCAATCTGGGGTATATTATGAGCAATGACATAAATAAATAGCCCCCAGTCTCCGGCGGCCCCGCTATTCCTGGCTACTGTGGCGACCATGTTAACGGTGGGACTGGAGGTGCAAAGAATCTTCGGTGGAGGTTCGGCTGCCACCTAAGACGATTCGACCTGGAAACATATAACGCATGCACCCTGAGAACTGATGAGAAGATCCTAGAGCTGGAAAAAGAGATGGACAAGTTGTGCTGGGATATTATAGGATTATCTAAAGTGCGAAGAGAGGGGGAGGACATGGTAATTCTTGAATTCGGCAACTTGTTATAAGGTGTCGGATTTATCGTCCACAAGTCTCTCGTTAACAACGTTGTAAAGATTGAGAGTGTGTCGACGAAGGTTGCATACCTGATACTCAGAATCACCAAACGGTCTTCGCTGTAGGTCTTACAGGTTTTTGCACAAAACGTCGGCACATCTCGCAACTGCAGGAGAGTTGCTCGCGAACTGTGAAATTTCTACAACATTTGCACACATCGCGTGCAGCGAGGTGCAGGGGTTTGCTCCTGAGCTCCCACGACTACTATATTAGGTATCAGGAAATTTACTTTATACCCATTGGGTGGTTTTCCATTTACCGGTGCCGGTGCCGTGCCGGGCCCGGCTGCCGGAGAGGCAAAAATTAATAAAATGTATGAAATATAATATGGCATGTATAGTGTGTCCATTTATCGGCGCCGGCGCCTGCATGGTGATGCGTAGTAAGTTTCCCGCTCGTTGGCGACCGGTAAAAGTGCATGTGTATTGTGTACGTATTATAGCTATGTGCGTGCGTGCGTGTGCGCGGGCCGAAGAAGAAGGGACGCTTTTCCATTTTTAAATGCTCGATGCATAATAATTAATCATAACAACAGGGATCAAATACAAGTTACAATCTCAGCCGCGTAAGCGGTTTGTGACACCTTTGTTTTAATTTCTAAGTATAATCATGGGAACGGTTTTTCGCTTACGTCGTATGATGATACCTAGTTTTAACAATGCATTAAAATTATATCGTAAATGAAATGAATTTAACTTTCCCAATGGTTTGTACCTCTAAATATAGATTGTTACATTCAATTTTAAATTCATTTTGTAAAGTATTTTTTTTCATAGGTACATTAACAAAAAAATCATTAATTAAGTTATTTATAATTTCGAAAACTCATTTTTCATGACATGAAATTTATGTAAAAAAAAAGAAAACACTACTAGGTACACAGCTCAAATTTGTTTTACAAATATTTATTAACATTAAAATAAAACAATTTTATTTCAACCAGATAACATAATTTTAGGTTCCGTTGTCTTTTATAAAGAAAAACGTAAAAAGAATACTATTACATTATTAATTTTATAATAATAGTGTATCGATATACTCTGGACTTTACTTTATGAGCAAAATATAAACCAAATATAGTTTAATATGTACAAATTTTATATAAAAAACATATAATAGAAAATTCAACCAGAATTATTGTAAATGTAAATTAATGTGTCTAAATATGAAAAAAAATTTCGTAAATTCATAAACAAATGTGGTTAAACAATTACGCGCACAATACATACACACACACAACACATTTTCGCGTAATTGTGTAAATCGATCCCTATAGTTATTAAATGTGTAACTCGTTAGTCGCATTTTGGGAAGCATTAATGCAAAATAACTACCTATCTCACTATTAGATTATCATACATTTATCACACTTTTTAATTTGCTCGGAAATTCCCTTATAATCCTGTATTTTTGTCGATTAATAGGCCCTTTTTCCATAATTCTTGTACGTACTTTATTTGTTCCTAATATTTTGACCTTTAGCTAGCTCTCTTTCTCTCTATTCGCTTATATGTTTATTTATTTATTCGATACCGGGAATCGGAGTATTAATTCATTTCATTTATATTTTATTTCGTGATTTTTATCACGCGGGTACTTTATAAATATGGGCCCCCCATTTATTTGGGTATTATATTACATTATTATTACATTATTTGGTTCACTACGGTATCGGGCCGTCTTGGGACGTGATCGAAGCATTTGAGAAAATGCAGCTGATACACTGTCAAGTAGGCTTGAAGAGCTCCTAAAGTGTGGAGTAGTTGGTTTACGTAGCTGTTCAAACTATACGTAGCGGACGTTGCCAGCATCACACTTTGTAATGTTGGGAGGTTCGAGGAATAAATTAAACGTCTAGCGGTCTTGAATGTAGGTTTATTACTAACTCTAAATGTCTATTAGGCTATCATATATATAGCTACATGAGCATACACTAAACACACACTACACGCCCATCGGCAAAAAAGAAAAAAAATGAATTACAAAATTTTTTTTTCTATAAAACAAAACTTGGTGTAAGATTCAAAAAAAATATTAATTATTTAAAAATATTAAAATTCCTATCCTATATCAAACTTATAACATAATAAAATAAAAATAAAATATCGTAAACACTGTAATTTGAAAAAAAAAATAACTTTCTATCTCTTTATTTAAATTTATTAAACTATCATCAAATTTAAGCCTAATCATAGTTTTTGTTTTAAATTGCTTTTAGTTCGCCTATCATAACTGCATAAGTAATATTTAAAATTTTTATAGATAACTATTAATTCACTAGACTGAAAATACAGTTTTTTTTAAAAAAAATAAAGTAATCAAAAATATTATAAAGCGTATATAAGGTTGTTTACAATATTATTATTTTCTTAAACTTAAGCTATATTTTTAAATTTAAACCTTAATAAACTTTAAAGGTAAATAACCAATTCCATTAAAATAGTAAGTATCCTTATTTTTAAGTAGATAAACTTCAACGTACTTATTTAAATCACACTGTAGTGTGAGTATTACAAACATTACTAGCACTACGCTTACATAAGGGCCCTACTAAATCTAAATAAACTATATCAAAGCGGAATATCCCGTATGGTTTATAACTTATAACCATTGGTTCCTTTATATAT